TACAGCGGGGCGGGCTCCATGCACCTTTCCCGGGCCCGGTACAGCGGGGCGGGCGGACGGGTGGGCTGCGAGCACCTTTCCGGGGCCCCGAGAACCCCGCCGGGCCCGGTACAGCGGGGCGGGCTCTATGCACCGTTCCCGGGCCCGGTACAGCGGGGCGGGCGGACGGGTGGGCTGCGAGCACCTTTCCGGGGCCCCGAGAACCCTGCCGGTCCCGGTGCAGCGGGGTGGGCTCCATGCACCTTTCCCGGGCCCCGAGAACCTCGCCGGGCCCGGTACAGCGGGGCGGGCTACGTCCACCTTTCCCAGGCCCGGTACAGCGGGGCGGGCGGACGGGTGGGCTGCGAGCACCTTTCCGGGGCCCCGAGAACCTCGTCCCGAGAACCCCGCCGGTCCCGGTGCAGCGGGGTGGGCTCCATGCACCTTTCCCGGGCCCGGTGCAGCAGGCCGGGCCCGGTACAGCGGGACGGGCTCTATGCACCTTTCCCGGGCCCGGTACAGCAGGGCGGGCTCCATCACCTTTCTGGGCCCGGTGCAGCGGGGCGAGCTTCAGGCACCTTTTCCTGGGCTTGGTGCAGCGAGGCGGGCTCCTTGCACCTTTCCCGGGCCCGGTGCAGCGGGGGCGGGCGGGCGGGTTCTCTGCACCTTTCCCGGACCCAGGGCAGCAGGGCGAGCTCCGAGCACCTCTCCTGAGCCCAGTGCTGCGGGGTGGGCGGGCTCTGTGCACTTTTCCGGGTCCCCGAGAGCCTCCCCGGGCCTGGTACAGCTTGGCGGGTTCCGTGCACCCCTTCTGTGTCCCCGAGAGCTTCCCCGGGCCCGATGCAGCAGGGCCGGCGGACTGCATGCATCTTGCCTGGTCCCCAAGAGCCTCCCCGGGCCCGGTGCAGCGGGGAGGACTCTGTGCACCCTCCTGGGGACCTGGGCAGCGGGACTAGGGGGTTTGAGGGCGGTTACTGGGCTTTGGTGCTACCGGGGGAGGGGCCTCCTGGAGGAAGTGCAGCCTTCCACCTCTTGGTGGACTTCCTGACCCCACATCCTGCCTGGGAGGCAGGTGTCTGGCGAGCGGATTACAGTCTCCCCCGCCACCCCCTCCCCAGTTGGCTTTCCTGCTGTTCTTTGTACATGGCTAGTGATGGCCTTGCATTCGAGGTGGCTGGCCAGCCCCCGGGGTGGGAGTCTTAGTGTCCGCTGTGCAAGGACTTAAAGAGAGGAGGAATCGTAACACTGCCCTTTCCCCCCTCAGAGCCAGCCCGATCCTCGAGAACCCCTCCCGGGCTCCCTGACAGCTCCCCGCCTCACCCCGAGGCCGCGATGGCCAAGCCCCAGGTGGCCGTAGCTCCGGTGCTCATGTCGAAGCTGTCAGCCAATGCGCCCGAGTTCTACCCGTCGGGTTATTCCAACTACACGGTGAGTGGCCCGGTCACTGCAGCCCTTCCCCAGCTCACTGAGGTCCAGAAGTACTGGCCTTATCTATATTAGCATCAGGTTTTAGGAATTCATCTAAGAAATGAGAAAACATTTTCTGGAATGTGTTCTGTGGTCATTATGTGCAAAGTTTCAGAGTGTAAACTTAAAAATAGAGATTTGCGTGTTTTGTTAACTGCTGAATTACCAGCATGTTTAAACCCCCCCCCCCCCAGTGGGAATCAGCACGTTGCTGTCCCTCCAGCAGGTTTTTAGAAGCTGAAAATCCCACCCATAAAGATTTACAGGTATTCTCCCTTACAGCGGCTCGTGGATTTGAACCACCCACCTTTGGGTTGGCAGCACAACTCCCTACTGATTAGACCACCAGAGCGTCTTGTTACTAGTTGTTATGTGCTATCAAGTCAACTCCTAGTGACCCTGTGTACAACGGCTCTGAGCCCTGCTCTGTCCTGAGCCAAACTTACCATCTCTGACACACCTACCCCCATTACCCGAGTCCCTGAGTCAGTCCGTCTCATTGAGGGTCTTCCTCTTGCCCTGTCCCTCCACCCTCCCAGGTAGGATGTCCCTCTCCAAGGACTCCTTGCAACATGCCCAAAGTATGTCAGACTAAGCCTCAGAATTCTTAACTTCCAAGGAACAGCCTGGTTTCTCTCTCTAGGACGAACCTGTTTGTTCTCCTAGCAGTCCATGGTGTATTCGGTATACATTATTAGGTGCGGAGACATCACAAATCTTTCTATTGTTATTAATTTTAATGAACGTTTACAGAGACTTTGGATTTCCATTCATTCATTGTTGCACTTTTCTCCCTGCCCACCCCTCCCCCTAGTTCACTCTTTTAAAAGTAAAATAAAAATTCTTTCATTGTTTTACAATCCCTTCCCCCAAGTCCACTCCACAGCCTTCACTCTGGACTCCTGTCATGACAATAATACCTAATCATATATTCCTTTTAAACAGTTCTCTCCCTCATCTGTTTCAATGCACTATACATAATTTATCCCATCTTTCTCTGTCTCCCCCAACCCTGATGTCATCCCATTTTACAACAGTGGCTCTATGCAGCATTTGTCCTTTTGTAGCTGAGATATTTCACTCAGCATACTGTCCTCCAGGGTCACCCATTTTGAATAATATTTCGTGAGTTCTTTGCTTTTCAATTCAGCGTAGTATTCCACTGTGTGAATATACCACAGCTTCTCTATCCTTCGTTTGTTGATGGGCACTTGGGTTGTTTCCAACTCCTTGCTATTGTGAACAAAGCCACGATAAACGTGACTGTGCATATATCTGCTTGGGTGGCAATTAGGGTTTCTTTGGGGTATATTCCCAGTAGTGCAATTGCTGGGTCAAATGGTATTTCTTTTTGCAACTATTAGAGAAAGCGCCATACCGCCTTCCACAGTGGTTGCACCATTTTACAACAGTGAAAAACGGTTCCAGTTTCTCCACAACCTCGCCAGCATTTGATGTTTGCTGTTCTGTTAAATTTTGCTATTCTCACTGGGGTGAGATGATATCTCATATGTTTTCATTTGCATCTCTCTTAGAGCTGGAGATTGTGAACATTTCTTCATGTGCATTTTGGCCATCTGAATGTCTTCTTTGGTGAAGTGTCTGTTCATATCCTGTGCCCATTTTTTAGTTGGGTTGTTTACCTTTCTCTTGTTGTGGTGTGAGACATCATAAATCTTATGCCATGTGCAGACTTCATGGAAGCGTAGTCCGTAGAATGTTGGGCTGCAAACCTAAAGGCTGCTGCTCCTTAGTGGTTCAGATCCACTGGCCGCTGTCCCTCCAACTAAGAACAGCCAGGCATCCCTGCCCCCCAAGTGAAAATGAGCTTTCATTCTCTCAATCCTGTCTGTGTCTGGACCCCAAGAGGGGAAACCAGGACAATCTCCTGGCATTGAGGTTTACCCCATGGAGGGTCATGGAGGTCACTGTGAGTGGAACCGGTGGGTGTAGGATAGTAGCCTGGCAAACTTGGTGTTCAGGAGGATTTTTGTAAGGTAACAGAATACTCATTCTTGGCTTTAGGGTAAATGAAAGGACGCTTTGGTAGGTTATTGAATGTGCAAGGTTTAGCCTCTAGCTGCTTGTGTTTGTCATGTTAAAAGAGGCTCAGTGGTCTCGTCGAGGCTCAGCCATTTTTTACTGACCCTTCACTTTACCAAACGTGGTCTCTTGCTTCAGGGACGGCCCCTCCTGCTAACATGTCCAAAGTCTGTGAGACAGAATTTCACCCTCTTCAGTTCTCAGGACAGTTTTGGCTGCACTTGAAGACAAGTGGCTTTGCTCTTTTGGCAGTCTGGGGGACAGTCATTGTTTCTCATGGCAAAGAATGTGAAGGAGAGAAGAGAAATGAGGCAGAAACATGCTAGATGGTTGAAATAATTGATTGTCCAAGAACATAATTTCTATGATTCTTATCGTCTTAAATTGATTGGCATATCTCATAAAGAATAGTGTATGTAGGGGCGAGCTCAGAGTTTCACCCCATGATCACTCAGATAAGCAGACCATTCTCAACACCTCAGCGTCCCATTTGTAATCGCTCTTAGTGTTAGGTGCTATGTGGTCCTGTCCTCCTCACATGTTAGTGTGTACTGTTGAGTCAGAACGGACCCATAACTGGCTCTCAGTGAGGTTTCAGAGGCTGTAAATCACATAGGAGGAGATTGCCCCTCTTTTGCCCATGAGTGGTTGGTGGATTTGAACCACAGACCTTTGCATTGACAGAACAGTCCCTTACCACTAAGCCACCAGAGCTCCCAGAGTCAGTCCCTGCTCATAACAGCTCTGGTCCTTCACCGTGCTCACACAGCAGCCCAGGGGCCAACCCATTTCCATTCCACTGACTCCCAAGTATGATGTCCGTCTGTAGAAACCAGTCCTTCCTGGCAGCATGTCCACAGTCCCTGGGCAGTGTCCCCATCCACACTTTGAAGGAACATTCTGGAAACCCTTCCAGAACAGATTGGGTTGTTAACTCTGGAGGTCCATGGTATATTCAGCACACCTGGTTTACAGCCTAATATAAAGGCTCCAGTCCTGCAGTCTCAGTCATCGTGCTCCTGATGCTTCTTTGTGAGGCATCGCGCAAGCCATGGCTCGTCCACAGCACCCTGGTCCTGTATCACCCTGGTCCTGTATCTCACATGCCATGACTCCTACACAGCACCCTGGTCCTCTATCACACATGTCATGGCTCATACACAGCACCCTGGTCCTTCACTGCACATGCCATAGCTCGTCCACCCTGGTCCTTCTTGTGCCCTCTTCTGATACTTTGTAGCCATTGGTAGCAGCAAACCTGCTAAATCCAGTATATCATTTGGCTTCTTGACTGCTGCTTCCCAGCAGAGTAATTGGGTATTGTGGACCTAAATAGAAGAAAAGCCTTGCCAACTTCAGTCTTTTCTTCAGGTACCATGGTGGTGCTTGCTGGTCGGCTTGTGAGGATTTTTGCTTTCCTGGTGTTGAGATGTAATTCATATTGAAGGCTGGAATCTTGGCACTGTTATCAGTAAGGGCTTTGTGTCTTTCCAGCATGCAAGGTTGTAACACAGGATTGTGATCACGCCCATTCTCCAACAGAAAAGATTTCGTTTTGCAGGTCTTGAACTTGACATCAGTGGAAGTACACAGTATACGTTTTGTAAATCCATTGTGTGGCGTAGAGTGAGTTATGCTCCAGCCAGTCCTTTTGTCCAGTGATGAGCATTAGGGCCGCTTCCGCTGGTGAGGGCCGTTCTGATTAGTGCGGTTATTCCTGGCTGTGCCCTCGTGCCCTTACGTCTGCTGTGCGTGTGGGTGGAGTGGGATTAGTGGGTCGTGGGGCGGCCACTTGCTCGGCTTTGGTGGAAATGGTTAGAGTGCGTTCTCTGAGTGTGTGCCATTTCTGTGGGTTCACTTCCTCCGTCGTGCTGGTTGCATTCTGTTTTTAAGTTTTCACTGTTCGGCTCAGTGTATGGTGGATATTTATGGGTTCTTCCGTGGTTTTAGCTTGGTTTTCCTGATGATGGGTGATAGCACATCCTTTTCGTTGTTCCATTTACCGGCTGCCTCTCCATATTTGATAGAAAAGTTCTGGGAAGGCTTTCTCTTCCATGTTTTGGAAGCCCGGGAATCTTTGAAGCTGTAGTCAGAGTGGTGGATTTTGAAGCAGAAGTATAGACAGCAGGAAGGACACTTCGTTTCGAGTTGAAGGCCATCTGCCGTGTCCAGTAGCTGGGACAGCAGCTTGAGCTGCTGCCAGAAACAGTCATCTGCTCAGAGGAGGGGCCGTCGGCTGGCTGGTCAGCTTGTCTTGTGATAATCACAGACCGCCCTGGTCGTCCCCGTTGCCTTGTAAGAAGGTGCACTGCTTTTTCACAGTTGTGTGCTGGATATCTTTTCTCTGGTTACTCTGGGACCATAGAGGGACACATGCGAGTCAGGTTGGTTCCTGGAGCCACAGGACCCTCCTGGCCGGCTGTGTTGGGGTCAGCACCTCCTGGGCTTGGGTCAGTGGAGCACTTTGCAAACCGGAGGCCCCTGGCTCATGTTAGTTTGCTGGTGTGTCTTTTTTGGCCCCAAAAGGTTTTTAAAAACAGGTGTTTCTTTTTTAAATTATGAACCAGCATTTAAGATAGATACTGTAAATCTGGTTTCTCTTGCAATCACGACTGGCCTTTCAGGGCTTGACTTTTGGTAGGGCAGAAATAAGCTGTTGAATAGAGGTAGCTGTGTTTGCAAGGAGCTTTGAGCTCTGAGTTGCTGTCTCCTTCATTCCTTGATACCTCAGTGGATCTGCGGAGATTAAAGCTTGCTGCTTGTTCTTGTTGAGGGCAGTCAGTCAAGTAGGACCCTGTGAACAGCAGGTCTGAACTCTGGCCTGTCCTGTGCCATCTTCTCATTTCCTGACACACTAGATCGCATTGCTGCAGTACTGTGTTAGTCCATCTGATTAAAGGTCTTCCTCTCCCTTGCTG